GGCAGCCGGAGCCGCCGGAGCCGCCGGCGCGGGGACGACGCCGTTAGCCTCGGCGGCTGCGGCGCCGCCGGTGGCTCCCGGTTCCCCCTCCGACCCCGCAGCGGCGGCTCCGGCGGTGGTGCCGGACGCCCCCGAAGTAGGCGAGGCCGGGTTGGAGGGCACGTCGGACTTGCCGCAGGCGTCCAGCGGGTTGGACTTGGCGCTGGTGGGCGAGGAGCTCTTCCGCTTCTTCTTGATCTTCACGCCGAGCACCGGAGCCGAGTTCAGGGCCTCCATGAAGCCCAGGCTCTCGATGGCTGCCGATTCACAAATGTCACCGGTCACGCTTGTTGTTGTTGTCGTTGTTGTTATCGTTGCGCTAGTATGCATGCGTGTATGTACGTATGTATGCATGCTGAACTTCTTTCGCACTACCGTACGTAGCCAAAAGTTTACCCAGGAGAGCCTCAAAGTCTCAAGACTCTTAGGAGGGTCCTGCCAAGTGTTAATAGTAGTGGGGGGGGGGGGTGGTGGGTGATGCTGCTGGTGCTGTGTAATCACAACTAAGTCATTTTGCAAGGACATTTTTCAGCAGTGGGGATGATGTTTTGGGGCCAACACCGCTTACATTTGTGTTGAAGTTTTTTTTTGGTTTGCAATTGGAGGAAACCCGCACAGAACAGGGGGAAGAACATACGATGATCCACACAGAAATGCCTCGGTTGAGATTCGAACCCAGGCCCTTCTTGCTGCGAGGCACAACTGTTACCACTACGCAACCTGGCAGCCTGCGCAGTAAATGATTGCTATAATTTTTATGACTGCTGAAGGGACCATAGGGTTAGTGGGGTTGGGGGCACGTGGGTCAGAGGTCAGATGGCTGAGCCGGCACAGCCGAGATCCCTGGGTTCCAATCCGGGTTCAGCCGCCCAACCACAGCGATGACACCGGGGTGGGGGGGGGGTCCTCAAGTGCAGCGAGCCAATGGTCTCGGACCTCCAAGCCGCTCGTTACACACACACAAAGTCCTTGCTACAAATGGACCGCGACGATACCTCGCCGATCTCGTCAAGGAGCGCTTCTGCGGCCGTCTGGAACGCTCTTCCTTCCGATATTCGGAAGCCACTCGGAGCTGTGCATGATGATGATGATTTTAAATCATCTAGATTGAGAACTAATTTCTTTAGAACTGCTTTTGTGTTTTAGTATGTTGTCCATCCCCCCACACATCCGATTAGTGCGGTTGGCTACATAGATGGTGCGAAAGAAGTTCAATACACACCCAGCCAACTCAAAGCCCGTGTCTTAGTGTCTCCATCTGTCCGTCTGTGTCTCAGCGTCCGCGCCCTCGTGTCTTTGTCTGCAGACCCCCCAGTTGATCTCCCGTCGTGTGTCCGTATGCATGACAGCGGTGTGGAGACTCACGTTGTGCGGGGATTATCTTCACTTTGATCTCCTTGTTGCTGTTGGGGTTCATGTTCAGGGGTTTGTATTTCTTCTCTGGGGGTGCCGAGCCCATGCTCACGGGGCTACACACACACACACACACGCGCGTAAAGGCGAGATTAATACAGCCGTCAAAACATTCAACGTCACTCACTCAATTAACTCTTGAACCCCTTCACTCAGCCGCCCACTCCTTCACCCAAACACCCACCCCACCCACGCTCCCTTCCCTCCGGCCCTCACCTCTGCCGCTTGATCGTTATGCTCGGCGGGACCTTGGTGGTGCTCGGCTGCTTCTCCGCGACGGCCACCGTCGCCGTCTTCTTGATCTGGGACGGGAGTGGAGCCTCCTCCTCGAGGCCTGGAGCACGACAACCCGCGGAGGCAGCGTCCGCCACGTTAGCACTGCCGGTCTGGTGCGAGCGCGCGCGTGCACGCACTCGTGGTGCGGGCTGAGGATGCGCGTGTCTCAAGGTGTGCGAGTGCTTCTGTGTACGTGTGTGTGTGTACGTGTGTGTGTACGTGCGTGCGTGTGTGTACGTGCGTGCGTGTGTGTACGTGCGTGCGTGTGTGTGTACGTGCGTGCGTACGTGTACCGCGCGTGCGTTACCGGTGGAACGGAAGCGAGCGTGTGACGGTGCGACCGTGCGCGCCGATTTCGGCTTCTCTCGCCGTTCCAGCTGCACGATGGCGCGCGGCTCCGCCGTCTTCTTCTCCACCGCGGGACTGCCGCTACTGCCGCCACTGCCGCTACTGCTGGCGTTGCTGGTGGTGCTGCCGGCACTGCTGCCGGCGCTGCCGGCGCTGCCGCCGGCGCTGCTGACGGCATTGCTGGCGGCAATGCCGGCGGCAACGGCAGCGCCGCCGGTTGGCACCGTCGCGGCAACGCCGTCTTCTTTCCTCCTCTTCTTCTCCGGCCTTTCTGCTCACGGCACAGCGCGCACGGCAGCGCCAAAACACATCGCCGTCATCACGGTCCACGGGTGGAGATAGGACGCAAGTAGTCGCAGGTGTCCACTGCACATTGCGCCATTTGTTTCCACTTTCCTCTCTGTCTAGTAGTGCCAATATGCGTCCAAGTGGCTGGCCAACATCTTCCTGGCACACACCAATCTCTCATGATGGTCGTCGTTGTCAAGCCATGACTCCGTGCTAAAGAGTCTTCCTCTCTTTCCGGTTCCTTCCATTCTTCCTCCGAACGCCACACTTTTCATTTCCCCGCTGTTGTCCATCCTACTACTACGTGTGTCCAAAGAGTGCCAGTTTCCTTTCTTATCACTGCCTGCATTATCATCATCAGCTCTCCTTTTATGTGCCACTTTTTTTTACTTCTACACCAAAACACAAGGCCACCAAAAAGTCCCCAAATCTCCCGGTTTAGCCGGGACAGTCCACACCCCCCCCCCACCCGCCAAGTGATTTCATAAAGTCTGGCCAGGTGTACACCTCCCCCCAGTGTACCCCGCCATCCAGAGGACGTCTGTGGAATAGAGCTTCATAGATCATCGGACTCCTCTAGTATAAATAAAATATTTCAATTCACAAAAGGGCCTTACCTGGTAAAATAATTGTTAAAAGTAGTCTATAGATTTAGAACCCGCACAGCTGTCCCCCGTTACATTCCGCGTGTGCGCGTGTTCTTACCTGGTAAAATAGTAAAAAATAGTTTATAGATTCGGTATCCGCACGGCAACCCCCGTCACGAGCCGTGCGTGTTCTTACCTGGCACGGGAGCGTTGGCCGCGCTCTGCGAGCGGATGACCGTCATCCAGCCGTTCACCAGCGACGTCGCCACCTCTCTGAGCTCTAAGAACGCACACGCACGGACGACGTGTTACAACGCAGCCATCGCACGCGCTGGTGGGGGAGGGGGGGACACGCTCGCTCTCCGCAGGGAGTTGCTTTCTCATCATGGGACCTCCCTTGCCAGGTATCAAAATATAAGAATAGCTTTTACCCTTTCTGGAGCTGTGTTAAGATATTCAAAACACCAAACAGAAAACCTTTTGCAAGTAATCATGTACGCATTAACCACTCGTATACTTCAGTTACAGACACATTCATTGAGTTCTGTCCCTTAATATTTGTTTAAACCCCGAGGGAGCTGGGCTGGACCAAAATAAAAAAAAATCAAACCGAATTTCTTCGCGCGGTCTTCATTGGCGGCGGTGCAGAAAACGTCACAATAACGAGCGGCAGGACAGCCGGGTATAATCACGCGTGGCTTAATCCTCGAATCGAACCCGGGCTTTCAGAGGCGCCGGCCCGCTGCCCTAATAACGCACCACCGACAAGGTAGGGCGCCAGGGCACCATCCCGCCTCTCATTAAGACCACGGGAGAGGCTTCCCCGGGGGCACTTGCGGGCCCCTACCGATGCGTGGACTCCCGCACGACTCTGCTCACCTTCACTGTCCGCAAACTTGCTCAGCTGTTTCACCATCTTGGCCGTGTTGTTCTGCAGGTGGGGGCGAGGGGGGGGGGGGGGGGAATAAATAAATAAAAAATACGGCGAGAAGCAATAATCATCATACGTACGCAACGTAGATTCTTCCGACGCGCGTTTGTGCTCGGGAGCGTAGCACCGCCGACCGCGACGTCGCATTATTTTCAGGGTGCTTCAAAAAAAATGCTTACGCTTCCTAAAAATTTGCAACAACACCGCGAGAAATGAGCCTCCGGACTCCTGGAGACCGCATGGAGAAGACTGCATGCATGCGTTGACAATGATGGCGAACAAGTTCTAGAACTATTCGACTCTGTGAAGCTATTAACATACATTTGTGGAAGAACTACTGGACATCTGCGGAATTAACTACTGCACCATCTGTGGAAGAGAGCTTCACACAGCTCATCGGATTCCTCCAGATATAAACAAAAGATTCCGATGCTGATGTGAAATCCGCACGGAGAATTCCCCGGCTCCTGCCCCGCAAACGGCACCGAGCAGGAAAAACCGGAGGACGAGAGACGCGACGAGAGACGCGACGAGAGACGCGACGAGAGACGTGACGAGAGACGTGACGAGAGACGAGAGACGTGACGAGAGACGTGACGAGAGACGTGACGAGAGACGTGACGAGAGACGTGACGAGAGAGGCGTGACGAGAGACGTGACGAGAGACGTGACGAGAGACGTGACGAGAGACGTGACGAGAGACGTGACGAGAGACGTGACGAGAGACGTGACGAGAGACGTGACGAGAGACGTGACGAGAGACGTGACGAGAGACGTGACGAGAGACGCGACGAGAGACGTGACGAGAGACGTGACGAGAGACGTGACGAGAGACGTGACGAGAGAGGCGTGACGAGAGACGTGACGAGAGACGTGACGAGAGACGTGACGAGAGACGTGACGAGAGACGCGACGAGAGACGTGACGAGAGACGTGACGAGAGACGTGACGAGAGACGTGACGAGAGACGTGACGAGAGACGTGACGAGAGACGAGAGACGTGACGAGAGACGTGACGAGAGACGTGACGAGAGACGCGACGAGAGACGCGACGAGAGACGTGACGAGAGACGTGACGAGAGACGTGACGAGAGACGTGACGAGAGACGTGACGAGAGACGTGACGAGAGACGAGACGAGAGACGTGACGAGAGACGTGACGAGAGACGAGACGAGAGACGTGACGAGAGACGTGACGAGGGGCGTGACGAGAGACGTGACGAGAGACGTGACGAGAGACGTGACGAGAGACGCGACGAGAGACGTGACGAGAGACGTGACGAGAGACGTGACGAGAGACGTGACGAGAGACGTGACGAGAGACGTGACGAGAGACGAGACGAGAGACGTGACGAGAGACGTGACGAGAGACGAGACGAGAGACGTGACGAGAGACGTGACGAGAGACGTGACGAGAGACGTGACGAGAGACGTGACGAGAGACGAGACGAGAGACGTGACGAGAGACGTGACGAGAGACGAGACGAGAGACGTGACGAGAGACGTGACGAGAGACGTGACGAGAGACGTGACGAGAGACGTGACGAGAGACGTGACGAGCCGACGGCAACTCGGAGAGCTCCGCGCTGCCGCGATAACGCGGCGGTGGCACGGAGATTGGGGGGGGAGCGAGCGGGCGAGCGAGCGAGGTTTACCTGCTTGAGGTGGTGAACGGACAGCGGCAGCCTCTTGAGCGTTACAAGGATTTGCAGCATGAGCGCAATGTTGTTGGAGTTCTTGGCCTGTCCCAGCCAAGAGTTGAGCAGCTTGTAGCCGCCCATGTTGATGAACCTGCGCGGGTGGTGGCGGTGGCCAAGGACACGAAGATAAAGATCCCCCATATAACCTTAACAGACTGTTGGGGCAAGTGCTGTTTTGGCGAGCACCTATGAAGGCCAGTATGGCGAATGCAAGGATGGCGAGGTCAGCACCAAAGACAAAGATTCCCCGTTTAGCGAAAACCTACAAAGGCCGTCCATAAGAGGTTTTTTTGGGATCGCGTAAATATATAAATGTCGTTAAAACCCGCCACCACCCGACACAGCCAACTAGGAAGGCTTGTCACGTAATTGGCACGTTCTGATTATGTGACAACCCTTACTTGTTGGCTGTGTTGGGTGGTGGCGGGTTTTAACGACACATTGATATATTTACGCGATCCAACGCAAAAAACCTCTTATGGATGATATTGGTCGCGAAAGCTTACATGTTAAAACTATGAAGGCCGGCTCGGCGCACGAGGGGATGGGTGGCCAACACCGCGCCCGGCAACCTGTCTCCCCAGAGGTCATGTTTGCTATAAACCGCACCAGGTACTCATTTGAGGCTGAGTCCACCTAGGGGAGGCCCAGAACCGGTTCAGACAATCGTTACCGGTGTTGGCCGCGAGCGGGTATCGAACTCGGCTCGCCGGGTTTGTAGCGCAGTGTCGATATTTCACGCACACAACAACAGGTGGCAATATCAGGCCGAGCGAACCGCGGGGGTGCCCAGGACAGGTTCAGATATCAGGGACAGGCTTCTGGAGTCACTCGCTACCCAAAGTGGGCCATAAGTGTGGCCATGCGGGAAGGGCTCTGTGAGCGTGACCGTCTAAACGTGGCGAACACGCACACGGAAGGGCCCGGCTGTGTGCAGTGACAAGAGACCGGGGCTACAGATCGACCCGGGCATTTGTAAACACACCGGCCACCCCAAGTATAATCATTCATTTTTTTGGGTTAGATCGCGTTAATATAAATGTCGGTAAACCCGCCGTCACCCGACACAGCAAATTAGTAACGTTTGTCACGTAAACAGAACGTGCCAATTCGTTACTAGTGCAGCACTACACCGGTGCGTTGGACAGCATCGCGAAAGCCTACGAGTTAAACACCGGCCCCAAATTCCCCGGTATGGGCAAAAAATGTTTCGTAATATATATAAAAATGGTTGCTGTGCGGCAAACTGCGTAGTACGCGTAGCTAGACGTTGCGATGTGATGACGACGTGTTAGCGCGATTTTGCCGTGCGATCTCTCTTCAGGCCCATTTGCGGGATGCGCCCGATGACACGAATGGGGGCAATGACGAGGGATAATCGTGGGGTTGCTGCCGAATATACGGGGGGGGGGGGGGGGGCTTAATGCCCAACTTGAGCTATGAAGCGTACACGTTAGGGGTAATAAAATATTTTAAAAAAATTTTTTAACAATGATCACATTTACATTCTCCCTACGCAGGTCCCACACCGGCCCTCGCAATGTAACGGCCTCACCAGGCAATTTGACCTACGGACCTGCTGCCCTATTGGGCCAGTCCGGGCCTGGCTGTAAAAGCTACTACTCTGTCTCTTGGTGGGTACTGCTGGACGTGGCCAAGCTACGGACTTGCAGCCTCACCTTGATAGCACGTCCGGTGTTTTCGTCTGCAGGATGATGTTCAAGTAGGTGCATCTGCTCACCAATTTTTTCGCATCTTTCATCAGACTAAAACACGCACGGACGCACGCACGGACGCACGCACGCACACAATAACAAACGCGCAAAACTTAGCAACGGAGATCACGGAGGTGGTCCCCACAGGTAGCTGGACATCAAAATCCGAGCTGCACAGAAACCACGTGGGTCTCAGTAACTGCCCTGCTTCACTCATCACACACAAATGCGCTCGCCACAAAAGAACCACATAACGCCTCGCTTGACCTCGTCACGGAGCATAAACTATCGCCAAGCGAAACTCCGGTCATCCGCGCAGCAGCAGCGGCTTTTGGCTAACGGTCTAACGAATACAGCGGTCACGGGCATCGCGGTCGCCGCATTTCAGATTGCGCTTCCGCGGCCGTCTGGAACGCTCTTCCTTCCGATATTAAGAAGCCACTGGAGCTATGCACTTTTAAATCTAAATTGAAAACTCATTTCTATAGAATGAACTTCTTTTTATTTTACCACGTAAGGCCCACTGAACTATGTAGCTCTTCTTCAGAAGCGACCTGGCCACAAATGATAGCTCAATGAAGTGGTTTATCACGTGGAAATTTATAGCAGCCAAATGCTCAAAACGCGTGTTGATTCTAAATGCGGCGAGAAAAAACAAAAGACCCGGAGCTAAACCGATGTGACCATGGGGAGAGACACGCAAACTCCAAATAAACAGCAGCAGGTGTCAGGGTCGTGATCGAACCCACGACCTCCTGTACAACAGGCGAGGCAGTTAACACCGCCTTTTCGTTATTTAGTTATCCAAAATTGTGTCCGGGCCTCACGCCACGACACGAATCCACTCGCAAAATCTCGCAGAGCAGCTCCGCGAACCCTTCACGTTGGAGAACGGGGGGGGAACCCACGGGAAGCAGACATCACAGGGCTACATCCGAGGCACCTTTGGACAAGCGAACCCCAAAACGGCTACGGGAAGGGGGGGGGGTCCTCTTTTTTTTTTTACTCACGTGTATATCCTGGCCGCATCTTCGACGCCCTTAATGTCCCCGCCCTTGCCCAGGAAGCAGTCGAGGCCCTTCAGGAGTTCCTTTGGGTCGATGGGACCAGGACCCATGGCTGTGGACCTGTGCCTGGGACACGCGAGGAGGAAGCCATCGACGTCAGAGAGCACCACCAACACCACCGCCACCAACCCAACCACCAACCCCAACCCAACCACCAACCCCAACCCTACCACCAATCCCACTAACCCCAACACCACCGCCATCACCAACCCCACCAACCCCACCCAAACCCAATACCGCTGCCACCAAAAACCGGGACGTCGTTTTTCACAACGCAATTCGGTAGCGCACTTGACGCTGATGCGATATTAACGCCGCCGGCTGTTACTCGATTTAATACTTGTTTTTTTTTAAAGGCATGTTTTCAGGTAGGGCGTGATGCGTGCAAATTAAGCCAACAGTAATCTTAAACTTGGATTATAGATTTGCCAATGTTGTTTATTCTCTCCCCGCTGTTACATATCGTTGATGAGCCACATTTTTTTGGATGTCACATTTGGTCCAAATTATTTATCTCGACTTCTTTTGATTTGGCACCCTGAGATACACTGCACAGGAGGCACGGTATAAAGGATTATTGTAATATCAGTTTCCTATTGCTTGGTAATTGTACTTTACTATAGCATCGTTTTTTGTGCTCTGCTGCACCAACAGTAAAAAAATCTTTACAGTATCGCCTCGCTGTTCACGAAACCGCTATCCGCGATATTGGCCATCCGCGAATCGCATCAGGAACTCTACACGACTGCATCGATGGAGAAAGTGATGGTAAAGCGATGGGGAGATGAAGCGATAAGATGCGTGTATTTAATAGCTTATTTACGTATTCATTTAAGGTAATTCATTAAAAATATAGGTCTTCGTAGGCCAATACCACTACCCGCTACATTTGCTATTCACGAGGCATCTCCGGAACGTATCTCTTGTGGGTAACGCCGGAACGATGTACTTTCTAAGAGTTCAGCTGCAGTTTGTTCAACGCAAGGCAACATCGCGGAGCGGTGGAGCAGCGGTTAGCGGACACAAACTACAAACCCGTCGACTCGAGTTCGATTCCCGACCATTGCTAACAAAACAGCGGCGGGTTCAAATTAAAATCTGTCCCGTGCCCCCTCCCCCCAAACATCACCAACCCAGCAGTGACTTGGCACGTGCTCAAGTATCGTCAAACACCTGCCGTGCCCGATACGGCGCGGGGAGAACGGCTGGCAAGGGCTGCGAAATCTCACGGTACGGTCACAGGCGATTCAACTTTCACATTCTGCACAGGGGGGCTGCACTAAAATAGCTTTTTGAGTTCGCAATGGCATACTCCTCCAAAAAATATGGAACGTAAATGTTGAAACTTCTTTCACGCCGCACGTAGCCAAAACGCACTAAATCGGAGGTGCGGCCTCACTGGGTTCCCAACCTAATAGTCCTGTGTAAACACGGAGCTCCCCCCGTTGCCGACAAGTAACAACTACTAGGCAGAGTGACCGAGCCCGAAGACGTTACGTTTTCAGCTCCGCAACGGGATGATGCTGAGATGCCATCTTGCGATGCCAACCGCAGGGACATCGTGGCCTAGGCTGGCAAGGCTGAAACATTTTAGGGCTGGGTTTTTGTTGTTGTAAATCGGCACGTATCGGGCAATCCTTGGGTCAATCTGGCTGGCTGGTTTTTCTCTCGGGCCAAGTTCCTAACGGCAACTCAACCTGACACGATAGTTTATATATCAGTTCATTCACAAGGGTTATTGTGCCCACCCTCCCCCGCCTTCCATTGCAGAACGCATTAAAGTTCAATATTTAATGGTTCATCTGCTATTTGGTGCCCACCAATGGAAAAGCGTTAACGCAAATTCTAAACTAATTTGGGTTAATATTCTTAAAATGCAAAGGAATTGTCTCAGGGCCACCAGTGTAAACCTCCAACTGCAAAGCAAATCTCTCGGCTCTTAAAAAAAGGGGTCTTTGCCCGAAACACCAGCCCACGATGCCACACTTGCGTTGCAAGGTAGCGCTAACGTATAGAGGGCGATTGTGTATTTTAATGTATCTGTACATTTGATCGGAGTGATCTCGGCTTTAAATGGCGCACACAAGAGCCCGCAACTTTAATAAATATGCAATAAGGGTAAAACGTTTCACGTGTTTTAAAGTCATGGGAGTCCTGAGTTGTGGTCATTTTATTCACCGTGCCACAGCAGTTCCAATGTAAACATTTTGCTAGGACAGTAATGGTATATGTTTTGTAATTATGGGTTCAGATATCAGGGACAGGCTTCTGGAGTCACTCGCTACCCAAAGTGGGCCATGCAGGAAGGGCTCTGTGAGCCCGGCCACCAGCGAAAGCCGCAGTTCCTTTAACAAACTATTTAGTTATTTACCAGGTAAGGCCCCCCCCCCCCACACCGAGGTGTGTAGCTCTTTTTCAGAAGCGACCTGGCTATCGCAAACGGTAGCTCAACGAAGTGGCTTACCGTCATGTGGAAATTTATAGCAGCAGCCAATTATTCTGAAACGTGTTTCTAATTGTGGAGGGAAAGATACCGGAGGGACCTGGCAATTAAGCCGGGCAAAGCGTGGCACAAAAAAAAACGCCTGATTATATTATTGTATTACTATATTACGGCTACCAGACGCCAGGGAGGCTAAAACTGGGACTGCACGCCCGAGTCAAGAGCTCCTTCCTCCCTCGGCCACGCCCACTCTTACGTAGCCACGCCCATTCAACCGCTAGACCTGGCTAGTGGGAGTGGCGTATTCGAGTAGGCCCTGCCCACTCCTCTTAGCCCCAGCCACCACTCGGGTAACCCCTACGATTTATTACCCACGGGAGGAGCAAGAGCCACTATATTTTTTTAAATGTCACATTTTGTTGGCTTTACTTTAAATTCAGGGGAGGGGGGGGGGATGACTATCTCAAGTGTTATAAATGGTGTAAAGCAAACGTAATACGCAAATGCACCGGTAATTTTTGCGGTGGCACAAATGTATATTATTTTAGAATTTATGGCTTTTTTTGTTGGCGCTTTGGCCCTCCAAGTACGTACGGCCCTTTGTCAATCCACGACCGGGTGAGGACCTCCCAAAGTTGTACGGGTAATGGGGATCGTTTAACCATACTTCACGCCGGTCAGCGATGATTGGTAGAGGTTGCCAGGACCGGTTCAGGTATCACACACCGATGTTAGCCGTGTTGGGGAACTGAACTTGGGTTGCAGGGTTCTCACGCACACTCGGTTCCGAATTCCCATTTTTGAGCAACTAACGTACGGGAGGATACCAGAGAGCCTGCAGAAACCCATGCCAACAAGGAACACAACTCGCAAATCTCTACTGAACAGTGGTGGGTAAAACTTACTATGCTGCCTTCTGCTACAGCAGATGCATCGCCACACTTGTGGGTAGATGTGCAGTGGAGTAAAAACTAAACTGTTTTTTTATTTTACCAGGTAAGGCCCACTGAGCTATACACAGCTCTTTTTCAGAAGCGACCTGGCCACAATTTGATAGCTCAACGAAGTGGCTTATCATGTGGAAATTTAAAGCAGCCAAATACTCTAAATGCACACGTTTTTTTGGGTTAGATCGCGTAAATAGAAATGTCGCTAAACTGGCCACCACCCAACACAGCCAATTAGTCATTGCCTGTCATCTATATTTACACGATCTAACCCAAATAACCTTTATTATGGGTATTGGTCACTTCAGTCTACGTGTTAAACTCTAAATGCATGTTTCCAAATGTGGAGAGAAAATCCGGAGGACCCAGAGAAATATCCACGTGACCACAGGGAGAGAGAGACACTCAAACTCCAAACAGCAGGCGTCAGGGTCAGGATCGAACCGACGACCTCCTGTATACTGAGGTAGTTAACATCTCCTAGCCACCGTGCAATTGGTGACGGCCAAATATCCCCCAGTGGAGTAACCCCCTGGAAAGAAAAAAGCCTTCGGACTGGGTTGAATTCGTCCGTGTGTTACTCACAGAGCCAGCCAAAACTCCTGCGTTGTGAGGTAGAAGCATCCGTCCGTACCAATTGTGTTGACACTCGTGATCTTCAAAGTTTAGTTACGACCACAGAGGCGAGACCAGATAACACTGTTAGGACAAGTGCTGTTAGCGAGCACCTATTAAAGTTGGCGCACAAGGCGGTGGGAGTGGATGGTGTGCTTCAGGCGGCCTTTTGTCTCCCCCAGTGCTGGCGTTTACGGCACGCTCGGGGTATTTATTTAAGGCTAAGCCGACCTAGGAGGCCCAGGAGCGGTTCAGATGTTCGTCGCCGATGTTGGCCTTTAGTCAGAATCAAGCTAAGATTCGCCTAAGTCCTAGCGTGGTGTGCCACTACTCTCCCACACAGAGAGATCCTCCGCCCCCAACAGCTGTACGGATTGAAGTGGATTTTAGCACACACCTCTCCCACGCACTTATCAACGTTTTGTCCGAGCATTTGGCTCCCAGAACCGTTAGCGAGCACCTATTAAGGATGGAATAAAGTACAGGGTGCGGGGGTGGGGGAAAGTTCAACACTCATTTACACAAAGGGGCCGATGGAGTGGGCAGCACCACATAGTCCAGCCACCTTTGTCTCCCAAGCGGTGTTTTTCACGCCATGTTACAATGAACTCGGTCACAAGCGATGTCACTACAACAGCGCTTGCGTCACACGCCAGACGCAATCCGAGGGAATTTGTACGTGTTACATGACATGCTGGGAGGTCACGGGACGGGTCGAGATTTTCTTCACAAGGCGTGTTTGTGTGTAACCTATGCGTTACACACAGACGCACGCGCACACACACCCACAAACATATGCACTTTCATAAAAACGTGTACACAAGCACACATGTATACACGGTTATACACTCAAGACGTGTACACACGTCCACAAAGACCTCCCGTATAGCCTTCAACAAACTGTTGGGGCAAGTGCTGTTAGCGAGTAGCACCTATGAAGGCCGGCACGGCAAACGAGGGGAAGGGTGGCCAGCACCACGCCCGAACGCCTTTGTCTCGCCAGTGGCGATGTTTACACACCGCACCAGGTACTCAATTGAGGCCGAGTAGACCTGGGGGAG